TGAGAGGCAGCAAAGAAAAAGTTCTAGACAAGTGGGGGCCGGCCCCAAGCCACCCACAAAGCAAAGACACACACACATACACAAGAGTCAAAACAAAAAACAGAAATACATAGTAAAACATTACCCCCCCCCCCCCCCCCCATTTTTTACACAAGCAAACTTTTTATTATAAATTTGTGGGTGGTTGGCAGGTGCTCTGGTGCGGTCTGCTTCTTCTTTCCTATCAAACATCTATCGTCCTTATCTCCCCTTCTTCTGTTTTATGTTTGTTATTCTCTTGTTGTAGTTGTAGCACGTCTATTCTTCTGGCGCTCATATATGACCTTATGCAGTTGCGAGCGCCGTAAAAAACCCTCAACTAAAACAAACCAAAAACTTTTTATTTACTTACAATGGATTCCAATAAATGATCGCTTTTAAGGACAAGCGGGCTAACCCAGATTTTGGGGGTTTCCAGAAATCTTGACCTACACCAAAAGTGGGCATTGCCCAACCAAAAGGACAAGTTTGGTTTCATTGGTGTGCATATTTGTTTGGCTTGGGGCTGTTCAAATATAATCTTACACCTTTTGGGGGACTTTTTGACCCCCCCCCCTTTCTTACACTTTTCTTACATTTGTGATTGAAGGAGGTGGGATCACCTGATCTCAGAGGTAAAATTCGTGAGAAAACGGCCGCCAAAGTTTGATAACTTCAATAGCTTGAGAGCCTTTTAAACTGAAAAATCACAAATTATGGGCATGTAATGAACGTTTTTCAGTATGGATTAAAAGATGTTTAACGCGAAAAAAAAATTCAATAAAAGTTCCCAAACCTGTGGAAAAATGCCAGGTTTTTTTTTTTTCACTTTCATTATTTTGACGAGCGCCTGATTTCACCACGCTGCCTCACAATTAGAGTAAATCATTCAAGGAAAATATTGCATACACACTCTTTTTTACTAATAAAAAGGAAAAAAATTGAGACTCACGTATGACAAAAGCGCTTTAATTAAAAAACAAAACAAGTTACAGTGGAATTCTGATAAAGTCAACACCCCGGACAGAAAAAAAGGGGATGACTTTGAGCAAGGTTGACTTTATCCATTGTACTACTGCCATTAAAAATTGAAGATGACAGCTACAAAATGACAAAGTACCTCGTAATAAACAAGATGTAATCTCAATTTCAGGGAGTATAATTCTGAAGTTGTCACCAAAACAAGAGATAATGAAAGAACAAAGGATACATATGTAATTGGTGGTGTGTACACCACTTGCTCAGGTGAAATACCTCTTCTAGAATGAATTCACCTCAGGATTTAGCCCCAAATTGTTGACTTCACGAAAGGTTAATACTCAAGTGGTAGACTGTATCAGAAAATCAGAAACACAATTACTTCAACTTAAACAAAGAAGGTAAGAAACGGGACTACAGTGAGGTGTTGACTGTAAGCAAGTTGACTTTATCAGGATTCCACTGTATCTATGTTATTACTGATCATTTATGGTGAAAAAAAAGTGAAATTAGTTATCATCAACAAATGCAGAGTTCATCATTATGTCGAAAATATTTTTTCCCCCTCACAAAAGTATAATATTACATTAGCTAAAGACCCCCCCCCCTTACACTTTTCTTACAGGAACCAAAGACCCGCCCCCCCTCCTCAGGCGTAAGATTATATTTGAACGGCCCCTTTTATAGAGAAAACTCTCCATGTCTTTTAAAGAAACTGAACAAGGGGCAAAAACTTTACCTTCGATTTTCTCAAAACAGCATTTTTCGGGACAGGCCCCTTGTGCTAAAAAAGTGACCAAATAGAAACCATGTATCAGTATCAGTACCATTGCTGGCGATAAAGAAGACAAAACAGATTAGTTTTAGTTTTAGTAAGTGTGTTACGGCACTTACAACAGAATAAGGTCATAAGTGCCGAAGATTAGAGGTGTTACAAGAGAGTAACAAACACAAAAAAAAAAGAAGGAGGAAAGATAAAGATGGTAGATGTTTGATAGGAAAGAAGAAGCAAACCACACAAAGGCACCCGTCAACCACCCACTGTGATTCGATGGCTTCAACTTCATGGCAAAAGGAAAGCCAAGAAAAAGATGGATCAACGAAGTCAAAGAGACCCTCCAGAGGAACAGCATGATGATCAAAACACCTAGCATAAATCCAACAATTGACCTCCCCTCCGCACCTTGTGGCATAAGAGGACAGAAAAAGTGAAAGTATGTACTGGAGGGTAACATACAAAGAATAGGAGAGATATTATAAGGACAATAGAAGTTTAACAGGAAAGAAGGCACAAACCACACCAGAGCACCCACCGACCACTCAGGCTGAGTTTTTTTTTTCTCTTGGGGTGGGGGTGGGTTATTAAAAAAACATTCCCTTCTGAGTTCCCAACTGGAGTTGGTTTGCAGGCTTAGGACTGCCGTAGGCCCATTAAAATGTTTTTTTGTCTTTGTTGGAGAGAGGTTTCCACAACTAGATGGCTTGATAGGACCCCAGTAGAAGCTGTGAGCTGTATGAGTTGGAGAGGGGTTCCCATAACTAGATGGTACTCAGTACTGAGCTGGACGATAAGTTCAAGAGAGTCCCCGGGCCCGCGTCTCCCAGCTATCTCCTGTCCTCATAGATGTCGCCACTTTTGTTGATAGAAGTTTAAAATTGTTGTCTGTTAAGTTGTCCATCAGCTCATCACCATTACATCTTCCATGGCTGTCAAGTGCTCAAGTCAGTGACGTGTTGGGGTCACAACAGTCGACATTTCTATTGCAGGTACAGATGAAGTGCACTTTAAAACAAAAAACATTTCTTGAGTCAACTCCGCTCTGTCCGAGGAATCATTTTCATTTTCCTTGTCATCAGCATTGTCCTTTGTTGTTAAATCTGTAAGTGTAAGCAAGTCTGTTGCTGGATGATCCCTGTCTACTGGATTGTTGTCATGTGTCAAGGAAACAAGGACAAAATGGAGTCTCCAGAACCGCGGTAGATCACATTACATACCGAAAGTAGCAAATAAACCATTATAGAATAGTATAGTAAATACACACAGATAAAAACGTGTATTTTCACTTCATTTATAGTAAGTCAGACAAATATTGCAAATAAACCAACGTAATTTTTTGTCAGTTACAATAAGCTGCGCATAACTGATGGGAATGGACTTCAATTTATCTCCAAAAAAACACTGGTTTGTGTAAATCCACTCTGGGTTCAAGAAAAGATTATGACAAAAATATATTGAAGGGCTCCAATTTTATCTGAGTACTTGGCAAGTGTGCAGTGGGCATTGCTGAAGTCACAGAGCTGGAATTATCTTGACACCAAACTTGCCTGGCTTGTCTGGGCAGTACACTGGGTAGCTGAGACTTGAGACTGCCACTCCACGCCAACACGCCTTTGTCGACAGACATGTTGATGGTGGGGGTAGACGTTGGCGGTGAAAGTTTCCGCAAGTTTGTTGAGGAAGGGACAGATCTAAAGGAGGAGGGGGTTGCTGCCTTCCTCTCCCCTGTGAACAGAGTTGTCGATGTCAGTGACATGGAGGACAGTCAGGACAGTTTTTTATCTGTACCTTATCATGTCGTTGTATAGGTTTTTTAAAAGTCCATACCAACACTATTAGGCTATTTAAGTGGCGGAACCCCTACATTTTAAAGTCCGTCTTCGATAGGACAAAGACATGTGGGTTGAGAGCTTTGAAAACTCCACAAACCACCAGAGTTCATGAAAGCCCAGCCCGGTACTTGAACCAGGGCCATCTACTTTGTCCACAATGATACCAACAGAGCTAATCAGATGGCTCCAATTTTATCTGTGTACCCGGCAGCTGTGTATCTGACTTTGTCACTTTGTGCAGAGATTTGTGCCTCTGTTATAAACCTGTAACCGTGGTTTTATGCATCCCGCATAATTTAGCAAAATTTGTTCATTTTTTGCATAATTTCTGATTATTTTCCTTCATCATTCTTTGTTAAAAATTAACAGAATCGCTTAATTTCACATTTTTGGGCTCAGTTTGCATAATTTCAGAATTTTTCTTTCATAAAACGACGGGGGAACGGATAAACAAAGAATCTATGCCAGTTGCAGATTGCCAATTTTATCACACCACTTGGCAGGTCTGGTACCTTGATACTCATGCACAAGTTGTGGTACGGAATAGCCAATACAAAAGTATTTATAAGACAAATAATACATAAATAATTTTTTTAAAAACAAAAATCAATTATTTGACTTTGTTAATTTTTTTCTAGTACAGGTTTATAGTCTCTAGCACCACAAGAAAGTCTCATTTATGACCAGGTTTGAAGATAGCAGAGCACAGGGCTGTGTCAGCTAGAATACAAAGTCAAAAAAACTTAGATCAAAAGATTTACTAACAAGAAATACATACTTGCATAAAAAAACCAACCCCAAGCTATCTCATCAGTGTGTGCAAAGGGAAATAACTCATTAGGATATCGTTCTTCACCTAGTCGTGTTAGAGTCATTTCCCTTGCTATTGGGCAGTCAGGGGAATTAAACAGAGGACAGCATGAAAAACCTGTAGTGTTACACTTCCAGCCCCAATATACATGACAGAAAAGATCAAACTAGTTGTGGAAGTAGTCAAAACTTACATTTAACAATTTACTTACAAGAAATACATACATACATTAACCCTTCCAGTCCCAGCCATTTTTGTGCACTCCCTTATCCCAGTCCCAGCCAATTAAAAGCAGTATTTCAGAAAAAGAGGCATGCATTCTAAAAAGTGATGTAGTATCTTTGTAATGAGGGTTTAGATAATAACATATAACAATGTTTAATGGTAAATGTACAAATATGAAAATTAAAGTTTAATTAGGTTCGCTCTTTCCGAAAATGCGCAAATTCGGTACCCCCCAAAACAGATATATATGCTCTTGGGACCGTGGGAGGTGCAAGTGCTGCTGAAAATATACGCGCATGGGGCTGGAAGGGTTAAAAAACACAAAAAGTTCAAGTTCGGACTTTCATTCAATACACCAACAAACTACATCCAACAGCCCACATTTTGCACACTTGCCTAGACTCTCCATTCATCCTTCACACTGGTGAGCGTAGTACTGTGTTGGCCACCCAGCTCAAACCTCTCCACACAGTCTGCTCCTGTTTCAGCAGGACATGTGTCTTGTGGTTTGAACAGGGTGTTCACCCTTGCGCCACGATGAGGCCCAGTACTTCCAACTTCTGCAAGGGAGGGGATGGGGAAGGGGAACTGTGGCAGTCTCTGCAGGAAATCCAGCTCAGGCCAGTCTTGGCTTAGGTCTGCTGAGTGGCCACGTCTTCCGGCTTCATGACGGGCTCTCCAGTGACTCGTCCTCTCTTGCCGGTCTAATGTGTCTCTCCGTCCTCTGGTGGAACGCCTGTTTTCAGGTGGACGTTTTACACAGTGAAAAGATCTATGAAATCAATCACAACAAAAAAACTTCTAAGGTGCCAAATGTTAAACAAAACTAACAAAGGCAAAGGCAACCTAGAGTCTGAAGGCAAATTTTGTTCACTTAAATTGTCCCAAACTGGAGTTTCTTTTCTTAGAATCTTGCTTCCGAAGAAGTTTGACACTGAATTATTTCTGCATCTCAACTTGGACAAAGTTCTGCATTTTAAAACAGCACACAAAACAAAAAGTCACAAAATATAGCAACACTCAAACTGTTCCAAGTTCCAAGATCTATTCAACATAGCAAACAGATCTGCACTGTTTCAAAAACAAACTGTGTAACCTTCCATCCTGTACATATCTGAATCTCTTTATAAACTTGACGAAACAGTGTTGTAAGACGGCCAAAAAGTGCAAGGCATGAAACTGACGTGGAGGAAAACGATGACAAAGATCACTACGCTGTCTTAAACCTTCAGCTTTGTGCTGAGACTGAGGTCTCTACTCTGTGCTCTCAGATGTCTTTCCTTCGAGTCGTCTGAACGCTGCACCGGCTCTAGCAACCGTTACTGATCTCTGTGTCTGTATTGGCTGTTTGAGACAGTCTGCTCCTAAGGTAGGTGAAATTTTCTACTGCACTTGACTCTCTCTGACATGAACAAAATATGAGACCGCAGGCTCTGGAGAGGTACACTTTTATGCAAATACGAAGCTCTCCGAGAGGTGGTTACAACACTATTTTCATCTCTTTTGGTATTTAATGCAAGTCCAAAGTTACCACAGCTGCAGCTGCTGGAGAAACAGGTAAGCTGATGTTGGCAAAGAGGTGTTCTCTTGCTCAGAGCAGTTGTAGGCAAACAGAAGATACCTGATGATAATTTTGAGTACTTTGCCAACAGGCGCAGCTATGAGATGACTGAGCATGAAATAAGCAAACAACTGTTGAAATGAAGCTTGTCTACTTTACTGGTCGCTGCCAATCATTGAAGCAAAATAATTTTTAAATCTATAATTTTGTCCCGTGCCCGTTCCTAGCATAGATCTAGAATCTATTATTATAAGAACGCCATCATGAATAATAATCAGTACAACCAGGGGAAGAAAGTT